AATTACATGATAAAAATGATGCAATGACAAAAAATGGTGAAAAATGACAATAAAAAAATACACAATGACGAAAAATTACAATGCTAAATTGACAAAGTGACGCAATGATGGAAAAATGATGAAAAATTATGCAATGATAAAAAAAATGACAGTTATGAAAAATGATGCAATGATGAAAAATTACAAAATTATGAAAAATTCTGCAATAACAAAAAAATAGTGCAATTATAAAAAACAACGCAATGATGAAAAATTATGCAATGACTAATTGACTGTGACGTAATGATAAAAAAATGACGTAACGATGAAAAAAATATGAAAAATGACGCAACAATAAAAAATTATGCAATTGTGAAAAATGACGAAATGACGAAAAATGATAAAAAATGACATAATGACGGAAATTAATTCAATGGCGAAAAATAACTTAATGACGAACTGACACAGTGACGCAATGATGAAATGACGCAATGACATCGATGCAAAGAAGCAATGACACAGTGACACAAAGATGCAATGACGGAGGGTGAGTTGAGTGTTTCCGCTCCTCACTCACTGGATTTCCTTCATGCTGTTGGTGTAAGCAGATCTCAGAATGTGTCAGAATGTGCTGTGAGGTCAGGAGGTGTGTGTGTGTGTGTGTTTACTGCAAACACTGAATGTGTTTCTTTCTGTGTTTATTTACACACACACACACACACACACACACACACACACACACACACACACACACGCGCACAAGTACTAACCAGCAGCTGCTGTCCGTAAACAAACACGTGATCTTTAGCGATGTCCACGCGATCCCACGCCAGCGTCAACACCAGCTGATCGAACGCTGTCGCATTTGTACCTGTCAATACACACACACACACACACACACACACACACACACACACACACACACACACACACACAGTTCAGGGTTTAATGCTGAAGTAAAAATATTTATCCACTTTCATCATCTTCATATTGTGAAACCTCAAAGAATGTGCCCTATGTGTGTGTATGTGTGACTGTGCACTGTTACACACACACACACGCACGCACGCGCTCACACAAACACACACATGCACGCGCACACACGCATGCATGCATGCACGCGCACGGATGAGACGGCATCACTGACCTTTGAGGAGAGCCTTCAGAATCGCCACATCAATGTCCTGATGATCCTCAGAGCCCACAGGAAACACAGTTATCTAAACACACACACACACACACACACACACACACACACACACACACACACACACACAGGTCAAAGGTCATGCTCTGACACAACCTTCATGTGTCACTCATAAACCACAGCTTACAGACCAAACACTGCACACGTGTGAATGTAAGTGTGTGTGTGTGTGTGTTGTTTGTGTGTGTGTTGTTTGTGTGAGTGAGAATGAGAAAGATGGAGCGAGTGTGTGTATAATTATATGTGTGTGTGTGTGTATAGTTTGTGTGCATGTGTTTGTGTGCGTCTAAGACAGTGTGTGTATATGTGTGTGAATAGGAGTATGAGTGTGTGTGTGTGTGTGTGTGTGTGTGTGTGTGTGTGTGTTCACCAGCTCTTTGTTCT